TGGTGTCTGTTGCTGACAGAGAAACCTAGTGGCACCCAATGAGGGTTTGCGCGCTGGGCGCGTGCAAACCCTAGCGATCATCGGCTGGAATCCTCGATTTTTGTTTGACTTTCCGGTGCGCTTCCTGCGGCTTGGTCCCCAGGCGCACGGCGTCGGCCACAGTGACGCCCTCTCGACTCGACGGTGCTTGACTGCGGGGTGCTCCTTTGGGCAGGTGCTTCCACTCGTTCAAGTTCGTCTTGGAGGGGGGGGTGCCCGTCGTGTACGCCCGCGAGCACGACAGGGAGGACTGCCCCTGGGTGGGCATGCCCGACGGCCGCGGGTGGCCGGTGTTCGTCCCGGGGAAACCCGCCCCGAGGTTCGCCGACCTGCGCTGGGAGCCACGGGCCGCACTTCAAGACTTTGAGGACGTCAAGAAGAGGGTCCTCGTGAAGGTCGCCAGGTGGAGGCGCCAACTGGACGTGTGTGGGGACCCCGCCGCCGCGGAGGACATCAAACAACGCAAGCTCCGCCGGATGGCCGGGGCCGTGCGCTGGTGGGAGGCATTCATTGCCTTGCACGAGCGCACATTCCCACTGGACGGGAGTGGCAGACCCACGTTCGCCATCGACGAGGGGGCCACCCTGCGGTTGGACAGCTTGTCCCCCGCCTCGCTCGCTGCCCCCTCCGCTGCGGCCGGGAGCGCGCCCACCACCGCCTCCAGCGTCCCTGCCCCCGTCGCAAGGTACGCGCGCATCCGCGCGCAACGCTCCATTCGCGCGCAACGCTCCATCCGCCCGCGATGATCCCCCCCCCCTCCCTTGCCATGGTGCCTTCACCATCCCGCCGTTGGTGCAATGTGCAGGGACGTAGGCCCGGCGCCCGGGGAGCGCCCCCTGCTGTTCGGGCACCTCTCCGCGCTCCCCAACGACAGAGAGTACATCCCCTTCGACGCCGTGCGGGACATAGAGGCCGGCCACCAGGTGGCCATCGCCATGTCCGACGCCGACGCCAAGGAATGGGGCCGGCGCTTTGACGTCGCCATTGTTAAGGGGGCCAGGGCCACAGAGGGGTGTGGGCCCGCGGCGGTGAAAGTGTTCACCGTCGCGTATTACGAGTGCGAGTTCGAGCCCCAGCCCCCCTACAACTTGGGGACCCTCCGCTTCGACGCCTCGGACGATGCCCAAGTCAACGGGCGCCGGGTGGAAGGGCGGCAAATACAGGGGGAGGTGTCCTCCGACAACATCATTTGTGACGTTTGGTTGGAGGCCAATGGAGCTAGGAGGGGGTACATCCACCCCCAGTACAAACGGCGTCTCTTAGCGGAGCTGGAGCGTTGGGATGAAATGTGCTAGACGGGGGAGGGGCCATTTCTAGACCTAGCAACTTGTAATTTCCTTTGCGTGTAACACCAATTGTAATCGTTGCCGCAAAGGCCATGTGGCACCCTCGACTTGTGTTTCTTCTTGGTCACATGGATTGATCGTGAGGTGGTTGTGGGTGTCCTTGGCCAGCACCAACTTGATTTTGTTTGTGCGCAACATCGTGGTTTCCCATGTGCGTTGGGTGACCCAAAAATGGCTTGTTTCTGCGCAGGTTTGCTGTTGTGGCATTTTTCTTCAATTCCGCCTGTGCGCAAAATGCACGTTTTGTTGTTTTTCGTGACCCCCTTACCGACATTTTGCACGAAAGCTTGTTATTTTTCGTGATGCCACATAATGACCACCGTTTTCACTGGGTGGATCACTTATGTAATTGGGGTACGATGGGTATCTACCGTATGCGCTGTGCACGCTGCATGGGATGGCCCTAGTATGCCACTATTGCTGATATAAAAAGAAAAAGAAAACAAGAGAAAACACTCCGAAAATGGGTTATGAGCGGACAATCGCAAACCTTAGGAATGATAACGAGGGCGGTGTAAAGTTAGGGAGACAGGGGCTGGATGTGAGATGCCACCCTGTGTTCTCACCAGATTCATGTCGCCATTCAGCACCCCAGACTGATTGGATTCAATGACAATTCTGGGAGGTCCTGGGGCTCAAGGGCACAGGCTGTGTGGGTAGATTGGGATAGTCTGATCAACTATTCCCTGGTCTGAGAGAGAACATCTGGGCTATCTGACCTGACGAGGAGAGACAACCAGTCCAGTAATCTACATTAAAAAATGGGGTTTCATGTGATGTGTGAGGTAACGTTCAAGGTGGGACCTTGAAATGCACTTACACACACAGGGCAGACATGACATGTGTATTGACTCTGTGGTGTTGGTCCTTGTGTTATGCAAGGCAGATTTCTGCACTCTCACTGCAAGCACTTGCATGCACTAACAGCCATGAGCCAAGATGGCCATGACAGGTTCAGCACATCACAAGGGTGAGGGAGTGAGAGTCAGAAATAGGTTGACTCCCCTCACCCTGTGTGCTGACTGTGTGTTTTACACTTCACCCAAGGTTGGCTGTGCAAGCCACACCGAGTTGGGACAAAGTGTTTAGTTATTGAGGGAAATGTTGATGAGAGGCGGCCTAGTGGAAAAATGGAAAACGTGAGAGGGTGATGGTCGTTTTAAAAAGACAAGTGCAGCGGATTGTGTATCGGCCTGTGGAAGGACCGACAACCCGTCCATTATGTTCTGAATGGGGAGGACTGACTACTTTGTTCAAACCCTTAAAAAGGGTCGTTTTGTCTTTCTATATTTGCGCAGCTGCCAACGCACTTTTTATAGCTCATAAGCCATGTTCCCCTTCCCTTGGCGGAATGGGCCACAATGGAGGAGTAGCAATGTGCTGTGAGGGGTTTGCGTGAGTGCAAGGGCGCATTTTGTGTACTTGCTGTAGTATGGAATTTCATTAACTTGAAAGGGGGCCAGTTGTTGAGGTTCTCTTAGAATAGACTGCCTAACCTTGGGTAGGCATGTTTTGGAACGTGTTTCTGGGCAGTCTATTGGGTTTAGTCTTGTGCCTTTGTAATAGTTGAGTAATGTTAAAGGGCTGGACATGTTGCTTTTGAAGTTTGGCTACATATTCCATGTTTTGGATTTGGGGCTGTGTGCATTGCCCCATTGCAATGTGTCTTTGTGTTTCAAATACTAGACAATGCTTCTAGATGCCCAACCATTGCTATGGCATCTTGTTGTACACGGGAGGCGCAGCCCCATCCTGAAGAATGTGGCAAATGGCCTTGATTGTATAGCCATTTTGGTGACGCCGGTGTTGCGGTTGTGGGATGGCCTGGACCATTTAAAGGGTCAAGTGGACGGTTCGAAGGTTTCAGACCAACATGTTTTGTGGAGACAGAGGCAATTTACTGATTTTAGCGTGTGACTACAGGCGTTGGGCACCACATTAGGTCATATGACATTTGAGGTGTCCCAGGCATAAAAAGGAGCCCCACAGCACCACAAAGTGCCACACTACCGAACGCCCGCTGAGAAAGCGAGCTGGGGGTGGCACCCGAGGAGGCCATACACCCCTGCTCAGAGTGGCAAGAGGGCGGGCGCAACATCCACAAAGGCGCCGTTTCAGCGTCACATCCATTAGGCGGTTTGCCTAATGAACCCTTCAAGGCATTCCTCGAATCCAACTCGAGAATAGCCACAAACGCCCAAAGGACGGCGAGAAGGCGCTCGCTGCATAACCAAGGCAAAGCGCACGGGAGGAGGAGGCCGCGAAGGCTTCAAAAGCAGGGCGCAACTTGGTGAAGGATGCCCACAAGGCCGATGGCTGGCCATCGGAGATCTGCCCATCAGAAGAGGCCCCAAGAAGGGGTTGCCTAGTTGAGAGGAGTAGCTCAGAGGGACTGCAGCATGAGTGCGCGTGCTGGAACGTGGCGCTCCCTTGAGGGTGGCCGCAGCCACTCAAGGAGTGTGCAAAGATGTGAGCGTAAAAATGAAATTACAACACATGCCCAAGTCAGAAAGGTGTACAATGGGGTTGGTTTGTAATATGGCTGTGTGGTGTAGTGGTGTGTGTGTGTGTGTACAACCTGTGTTAAGGTGCAGTTTCTGGCTCCAAACTGTTTTTTCGTCAAGAATGCACAGAAAATGCACTGACGGGTTGCAGTTGTGCACTACACAAAACGGCGGGCCGTGTCCTGCCAAAAGGGAAGGTATCAAACACATTTTTGCGTGCTTAAAAAATAGTTTCATAATCTGAATGTTATTTAGTTAGCACGTGGTCCATTCAGCCGGGCAGTGACACCTTGGCTCTTGGGTGTTGTTACGGCTAGAACTGATTGAGTGTTACTAATAACTGAATGCATGAAAAGATGACGAAGCACTAGGAATTGCATTAAAGATGTTGATGAACAGACTGAGTATAAAGGGCGGAATGTCTCTTGTCCTTTTGCCTCGGCTGTAAACCGTTGCTGTGGACTCGAGCGTACAATTCCCGTTCAGGGATCGCCACCCCTCGATCCTGCCTGCCTTCGTCAGTGTTCAACCACAGCTGCCCCTTTGATTTTGGCGGCCAGAACCGTATAATGCAAAAGACGCTCTTTAATTAACGGCCGTCACGAACAATACCATATATTGGCGACCCGAACACTACTGCCAACCTTGCTGCTGGACTTCCGCTCTCGAGCCACACCAGCAGTTTGGGACAGCGCAAAGCCATGCGACACCAGCACCCGGTTAGGTCTGGCGAACCGGCGTCCACGTGCTTCTTCCGAAGTGTGCTGCAGCAGAACACTGTACCTAACCTAAACCTGTCTGGGTGGTTGACCTGGAAGGACGATGCCGCCATTTGGAAACGCTCTCTGGCAGTGTACAAGCAGCGCCGCCCCAAGTGTAGCAATTGGCAACGCTTTCACCATTATGTTACATCTCCACTGCTTTGGCACTTCCGTCGATCATCATGCCGCCCTCCCTGTGCCCACCGCTCTCACATCCCGCTAATCAGCAATTATTGACAGACGATCGGTCTAGCTCCGCCAGCGCCTCCCCGTCCAAACCACAAATTCAGCAGCGAGGGCAACAACTTGCGTGTCTCGGCATGGGGTGGTGGGGGTGCCGGTGCACAGCGTCACAACTTACCGCCTCTCCGTGCCATTTGAGCATTTCCGCCCCTCCCTGTGACAGAATGCCTGTTGTCGTCAGATTCCGCCAACTTTGCAGCGCCCTGTAGACAGCAGGTGAGGCCCCCAACACAGCGCCGCTGGGCGCTGCCCCTGGTGCCTCCCCCAGCCCTCTCACGCAGCCAGCGACCAAGGACGACAACGGACTCAGCCAGAAGGCACGGCAGAAAGCCGTTTTTGATCTTGCCCGCAACCAAGTACATAACTTTCGCAAATCTTGAAAAGAAATCAGAGCCACATTTCCGATATGCATGAGCAAGGTGTTCGGTCACAGAGGTTCTTATGTCAACGCACAAAATCATTGAAACAATAGGTGGGCGCCGAGGGGCCGGACAGGCCACCCCGCTGTCCCTTGGGCCACTGTGGCGCCTGGAATCACACCATTCGTGCTGCCGGTAGCAAAGGCGGCGCAACCTCCCGGTTCTCTCGTACAATTTGACGCACCCAATGCACAAATCAATATCTAGTCACTCCCCCTCGCGTTCGCGGCGTGATACTCTACGCTGTCTGCCCTACACACCCACAACGCGTGTGCTACCCAGGGAGCTCGCAACTCGAAATGAGGCCCTGCCAGTGACACCGGAGCGCGGGCTGCCCATTATTCCAACCCGAATCCCTCAGCATTCATGATCGCAAGTCTGAGGCGATCCCTCATCAGGGCCTTAGACCCGTAGTCCGGGAGCAGCAGCGTGTTGAAGCACGTGTGCGAGGTGGGCAGCTTTCTGCTGTCTGTGCCGTCCCGCTGGATGATGCACTTCAGGTTGCCCAGGCCGCCGATGGGCGCCCGGTCGCTGCCGGTGAAGAACTTCAGGAAGAGCTTCTTCTCATCCTTGGTGAAGTCGGTGACAATCTCCCACAGCCACCGCACCGCCTGCAAGCCATGGAGACCGAAAGTCAGCCACACTCACGGATGGAGAACACCTCCCTGGGCCCAGGCCGCTGCATGGCTGCGGCATGGCGTTTGCCCCATCAGCGATCAGCTGTATCGCTCCGATTATATCTGGCCAGTTGAACGTTGTTTTTGTGCTGGACTTTAATGGTTAAGGGCACAGCAACACCCTTTTCCATGTGCACCTCTGCAGTGAAGTTGGGCGGAAAATGGAAAACTTGTTGGGAAACAGACAGAAGACCGCAAATGCGAAGCCTTCTGGGGCCACGGGTAGGTAACATTTCGTTGCGTAGGATTGATGGCGTTTCCTGTGCACCTGTGCCAGATGGTGTGCTAACTTTCGAGTCAGCTGCAGCAAAGCGAAATTACAAAAACACACAGACTGAAGCCAGATCTGCTTACCGGTGACTCGACCTTGAACCCGCCTTCATATCTGGCATTCCTTTCAAGGGCCTCGAAGTCCAGGAACGGGTTTCCACACACGAGCCGCTCTAACTCCTGGTTGGGAAAGCAACGACAGCGAGTTGCAGCATGAGCTTGACACCAGAGGTCAACACACAAGGAACAAATGAGGGGCAGGAGGTCGGGGTAGGAACGGGGAGTGGGGAGATAAAGGGATCTCAACAGATCCAAACAATACACCAGGTGGGTGGCAAATGCAGTCCTCGATGCAACGAACTTCGGATAAAGAAATAAATTTGGCAGATTCAAGTAGCTTGACAGTCCGCACCTGGGCATTGAACAGGTGGATTGCAGGTCCTCCGCATATGGTCCTGAAACCCTTCGAGAACGCCTCGAAGTGGTTGTGCACGGCTTTGTTCAGGACGTAGTCCACATACAGGTCAGTGTACTCACGTCTGTTCTCCTCAGTCACCATCTCGTCCTCCCCATTTGGCTTAAGGGGGATAGTCTTGACCTCACCAAACATATTCACATCTATGCTGAAAGACTGGTAGAACACGTCCGCAATGCTGCCAGGCCCCTCATACTGGCAAAGCAACAGCACAGAAGCAGTGAGAAACAGAAAGGATGCATGACAATGCAAGTCAAACCACGATGGGACTTCGTCAGTCTGCTTTCTTACAGTTGGACTGCTGCTTCCTAACTCTAACAATTTCCTGGGCATCTGAACCTCTCTTCTCTCTTGTGGCATTGGACATACCTGGGGTCATTCAGCAGCAAGAGTGAACATAAAGCTGGCTGGGCAAACTTTTGCCATTTGTGCCTGTCCGATGGCTGTTTGACAGCATTTACCTGGCGATCAGTGCAATATTGACCGATGATGCTACAGAAGTGCAAGACAACTGCAATATAGGCGTAAGAAACTTTGGGAAAGCAAACGCCACAAGTGTAGGGCCACAGGCTCAGCAGCCATAAAGCATGGCGATGGCTGCCTGGAACACGGACAAGGACCAAAAGCTTGCAGCAGAGGGGGTGATCCAGGACGTTTCATCCCGCTAACTGGGCCAGCATCCATCTGCCATCCACTACGGCATATACACAGTACCACTGCAACTCTCCCCAACTTCTTGACAAAAACATCTGCAAAGCAGGCGAGATTGAAGGTATATTGACAGGCCATCTGAGCCGAAGTCACTTTCCTAACTACAGGGCAACGACTTCTTTTTGACAGGTCACGAATGTTGGAACAAAATGATGTCAGGCAGATGGCCAGCAGGGCGCCCTACCTGCAGCAGTTGTTTCAGCGACTTCCCAACTGTTGGCTGCATCTCCTCCATCTCCCTCAGCCCCACATCCATGCCGATGAGCTTCTTGTACAGAGCCATCGGGAGGGGGAAGTCCAGAAGCACGCCATTGTACACAGCAAGCCCAACCACTAGGCCAATCAGCAAGAATTCATCCTCGTGTTCCAAAGACATCGGGTTGAACCTGCAAAAACAATTGTGACAGTGTGTCTTTGCTGACTTATTAGCTCCATCGACATCGGCTCAATTGTTTCACACACACTTGTATGCACAAGGTGGTTGAGAACACCACTACTGAATCAATGTTTTGATCACACACATACTTGAGCAACATTTGAGCAATTCAGTGAATGATCTTGTGACCAGGCAGCACTCATCAAGTCCTTGGCCAATAAAGCAACCACTGTGGAACTCCGTTGTGCACCCAACCACACCACATGAATTCTTCTATTTCATTCCAATTCATGATCATATATGAATTCGTTTATTTCATTCTATATTCATTTGTCACATACTTTTCCTCCTGCCTAACAGGCCTTGAAAGGTATGACAAGGCCACAACAACTCCTGTGCCCGGAAGGGGCCAAGCACTATGGAGCACGAGCCTTTCTAGTAAGACCCCATCCTTCACCGAACAACTGCAAGCCCGCCCTCACCAGTAGGTTCTAGACTCTGGCTGATAGGCCAGCATGCCGTAATCCACCGACAGCAGCTTCTCCACCAATATCTGGAAGAACTCCTTCTTCACGCCACCAGCATCAATGCCCTCCTCACCAATAAAGTGAACCCGAAGCGGTTTGAAGAGGTCCTTCCTGTGTTGCCGTGCAATTTCGTCCAGGGCGTCCTCTGTCAGGTGGTTCCTTCTGATGCGGAGGATGCACATGTCGGAATGGGTTGCAGGAATGCCACTGTGCTCTGGCCGCGGCAGCTGGGTGCAAGCAGAAAAGAGATCAGCACCTGTGGGCCTGTTCGCTTACAGAAAAATGTAAACCCAAGAAATGGCTGGATTGGAGGCCCCTGTTGGAGAACAGGCCAAAAGGTCGCCTGAAGGAACTGATTATTGCAAGTTTGCGCACTTTGTCGACCTCCCACAAGACAACTGTTATGTTTAGTGTGCAACTCTTCTTGAATTGTTCCTCGAATGCAATGGGAATTGTTGCAAGCTGTGTCTGTAGCATTGGAACCCTCAAGTTCTTGCATTAGGATGCAGATACATCTGCCTCTGGACACAGACAGGTGCAAGCTGCAATGTGAAGGGCGGGCATAGCAGTGGGCAGTTGAAGTTTCAAACCTGCAACTCCAAGGATTCAAACCCATGGAAACACTGGCTGAAGTATCGCATCCCACACAGAAATACACGGAACGAAATATTCTGTCATTGTACAACATTTCCTTTCTTCCATTCTCCTCCCTTTCTCCATTCTACTCTGGCTTTGGCACAAAGAATGCTCCATGCCTTTATGCCATTCCCATTCCCCAGATTGTTGCATCCATTCCAGTCCACCAAGAATTAGTGAACACAACAATCTGGTTCACATGGACCAAAATCACTTTGGCTGTGGCACGTAGGCAACAGCTTGTTCCACAGAAACCCAAAATCAAAGGTGAAGTCCAATCAATCCAACCTGCAGCGATCCTGACCGCCTCAGCCTCTCTTCAGAGGGACCCTCCCGGCCCAATAGCCTGGAGTCCATCTCATCCCCCTCACCCTCCCGGCCACCGCCATCGTGGTGGTTCATCCTGCTGGTCAGCATGTTCACAAACAGCGTCCGAAAACCCGCCCCTTCGCGGGGCCGCTGCTTCTTTCCCGGGTCACCAGCTCCTGCTTTTTTCCTGCGGCTGCTCTCTGCGTCGTCCCGCTTGAGGGCCGCCTTGCGGTCTGGCAGGATGCGGCCATCATCAGGCTCTTTCCTATTCTTCCGGTTGAAAGGCCCGTACACAGACTCCATCCGGGACTGGGCAATCGTCTGCAACAGTGTTCCTGAGGCGTCATGTTCCATTTTCATAACATTGCTTGGCTTTCAGGACAGCCGATCTCCCCCAATCCCATTCTCTCAGGTAGTCACATCAGTCCCCCCGTGCTGTCAGACACTCGGATGTTGGAATCACATCAGTTAGAATTTATGGGGATCCACAAGCCTGGCGTAAATGTATCCACATTGCGCAGCTGAGCACCAGCTCCAGCTCAATGGCAAACAGCTGCTAGCAGATCTGTCACAATGGGAAGCACATAGGGCATGACTTCTCACCTGTTCCATTTGGAGCTTTGCCTCCATGTGCAGCAGCTTGCTCTTGGCCCTTGCGTCGAGCAGGAAAGGGTAGCTGCAGAAAGAGAACGGGCCGTCCTGGCCAGGTCGGCGCTGGGGATGGTCGTGACTCTGGCGCCAAGCGATGTAATGGTCCAGAACATCCATCTTCTCACTGTTTCAATCAGAAATGGAACGAAAGTTGATGCTCAGCTGCACAACTTGGCAGCTGCATACAGGGTCAAGCCAAAACCAGGTGTTCAAGACGGACACATCGGTAGGTGCCCGACATGAATGATTTTCGCTGCAACAGTATCGCTCTGTTTGCACCACTGCCCCTGCCAGCATCAGTGTTGTTGTTGTTGGGCTGCTATTTGGCAAAAACAATATGTGCTTTACGCATTTTCAAGCACTGTGGCCAAACGTGTTAACTGGGCAATGCTGCTCAAAAGAAGCTGATCGCATTCAAGGACATGGTTTCCAGGAACTCGAGAGCCATACACATGCCATCATCCATCAAGCAGCAATGGGGAAAGTGGCACACTCTGCACCAGCACCAGCCCCCCTTCCTTCAGAGTAAAAGCGTTGCTGGCCACCCCATCGTCACCTTTATTCTTTCATTGCTGGTAGTCATTTCGCAGATACAAACAGCATATATCCACAGAACACATGTCAGAGCGTTGCCAACAGCTTGGGGAGCCAAGCTATGTGTTTTTGCTGGTCTCTAGGTTCAATGTCCTTTGTGTTTCCACACCTGATCAGCTGGTTGTAGAACGCCTCAGGGGGGAGCTTCCTGCCTATGTCATTGGATTCCTCAACCTTTGACAGAACTTTGATGGCATTCATCACACTGACAGTCAACTTTTTCGTTGCCATCAGCTCTTTTGTAACATAGCACTGCAGAGGCTTCACAACTGCCTCCTCCAGTAGCTCTCCCGGGTACTCAGCCCACCACTTCACCAACAGCTGCAGCACAAAAACAGCAAACAATAATCAATGACCTGGCAAACAGCAACACAAATAACTCCCAGGCTTACCTGGCACCAAAGCCAGCATATGATCCTGGTGCTCCTGACCGATGGGCTCATAGCCTTAAACGCAAGATTCGAGTTCTGTGAGTCTGGAGGCATGATTTGCATGCAGCGGAACATCAGCACTGCTGTTTCAAATGGACTTCTAGATAACAAGTGGGACTCAAGCAGCAAACTGGACGAATTGTTTTGGTGTCCGCAGTGAAGGGCATGCATGGCCTTTGACACAGTGCCCGTGGACCAACAGGCCAGTCGACTGCAAGAGCAGTTAACAAGGAACTTAGTCATCAGAAACACTGTCACCAGTGGCGATGATGCACACAGCAACTCCCTCCAGCCATCCAGCAAGGAAACAAGGATGCACAATGCCAGGTTGAGCTGCCACAGTGTGTGCCAAAGCCCTGTATTAAATGAGCTGTACCACACGGTGCTGCACAGTGCAGTCGGGAGATCTGCCCACGGGGCTGCTGAATTGCAGGTCTTTGGGACATTTGGGGCCGATACTCACATGCCGCGTCGCCGAAGGTGAGTTTAAAATTGTGGAGCATAGCCTTGGCAGCAGTGACTTTGCAAAGGGCTGCTCCAGAAGGAGGGGGTGCTGCGCTGCGGCCAGAAGAACCTGAGCCCTCTCAGGCGTGCCCAGCAGCTTTACATGACCGTACAAGTCCTCAATGAGCTGCGTGGCAGCCTTTGACATAGCTTGAACGATGCTGAAGGAGGCCAAAGACAAGCAGAGATCAACCTCGGGAGGAGGGAATTTACGCACAATGATAGGGCAACCCATCTGCACACACCTCATCAGTGACTTGGTTGTACACACAACAGTTCTGCACATCTGCTGCAAGAATGCATCCGTCATTTTCCTCAGTACTGTTGAAAGCGTGTTTCATCACAACTGCAATGGCATGGACCACTCCGGAGTTGCACCCCAAACTGGGCCTAGCTCTGAACATCCATGGTGCCCAAGCATGCAGGAGCACAGCCCTATATTCTCCTAAGCCCGGCGAAAACACAGGACCTACTCCACACCTGACAGTTCCTAAGGTAGAAATAGACCTCTGAGGTTTCTTGTGCCACAATCTGCCATTATTTGTTAATTCTTGCAAATTTTGTAATCTCGCATGGTGCCTGTCAACATAGCTGTTGCCAGTCCACAGCCAACAACATCAGCACTCCGTGAGAAGAGCTTGCTCCTCACCTGACACTGCACAGGTCGGCTATGGACTTCAGTTGACCTTGGCTTGGGTCACTCACATGCCTGGGTGACACAGGGAATTACCCCAACATCAACATCTTATGTGCATGAGCACTTGAGAGCATATAAAACGTCATTGATACCAGATGTGTCTGTTGCCACAACCAGAAGAAAAAAGGACAACAAATGTGATTTTGGAACCCATGCAGCCAATCATGAAGGCATCCAACACAGCAGGAAGTAGACCGAACCCCAAGGGCATATCAAAACACCAATGGACTGGATTCTGTTTCCTCAGGGACTCTCCCTTGCCACTGAGAGACTTGCAAACCGTATCTCACCCATTGTGCATGAGGTGCTGGACCCTAGCCATTGTACCCATTTGTTTCATCGCATGGTCAGTGGTGGTGAGTGGGTGGGTGGTGGTGGTGGTCGGCAGTGAAAGCAAGGGGGGGGAGGTGCACAGCTCACCTCTTGTCACAAAGTGAGAGAATCTCCTTTTGAACCTCGCGCAACGTGTACACATCGAGTCCCACACGGTCCTTGTAGCCAAAAGTGGCACTGAGGGCAGCAGCAGATCCAAAGACCATCTCGACTGCGCTCACAAGGGATCTCATGTTGGAAGTGCACTCGTGTGTGTCGTCCCGGTTTCCCTCTCGCACAGCCTGAATGCTGTCTTGCATCCTGCAAGCAAGCAAAGAGGTGGGCAACGAATCAGAGCACAGCACAATGTCAGCATCCACAACAGCATTTGCCAGAACCAGCACAAAGCAAAACTTGCTCATGCACCAACCCTTCCCAACAGCAGCCCCACCTAATGATGCTGACCCATATGAGAACACAAACAGATTTACTGTGCAGCCCAGCAGAAAAGCAGCTGCCTCATCTACCCTGCAACTACCCCTCACACACCCACTGCAAACCTTCTGCAAGCCTTTCCTCTTGTTGTCCAATGCAAGGCACTATATGTATACGCTCCAACAAACTTTGCTCGTGGAAATATGGTTGTCATCGTCTTGTGGATGGAAGGGCAGTGTTTGGCATGTCTTGGCACATGCAAACAGCAGGAACGTCTCTCACCTGTCCCACAGACCCACAGATGGCAAGTCCGGGATCTCGTCAGGGGAGCGTGTGAGGAACCCACTGGCATTCCCCCCCGCACAGATGGTTCCCACGATCGGCTCATTCCTGCGCCCCCTGTGTTGCTGGACAGTGTTGAATGGCAGATTCAGCTTTGCAGGCAGCGACAAGCACACAACTTCTGCCCCATTGTTCCCCGAGCACCCAAGCTGCCCAGAGTCGTTTGAGCCTGTGCCATACACACTGCCATCCTTTGTGAGGAAGAGGGTGTGCTGCGAGCCGCATGCCACCATCTCGACGTCCCGACCATCCAGGGCCACCACCTTCAGGGGCAGCTCCTTGTTGCAGAAGGCACCTATGCCAAGCTGGCCACGCTCGCCTGCCCCCCAGCTGTAGACTGCATGGGCAGTGACAGCGACTGTGTGGCTGCCACCAGCGCCGATGCACCTCACACACTGCAGATACAACAGCGAGGCTGTTAGCAAAATCTATCTGGTACTGGGACAAAATGTACTCTACCAGCGCAACACACTAAAATGTAGTACATAAGCGGATTGTTCCTTTATAGTGTTGCATGTGACTGGAGCAAATAGGCTAATCGAGCCCCACAAAGGTTGCAAGGATTGCCAGCCAAAAGAATCAAAGCCACGGTGAGCAGAGACAGGCAACAACGAGGATGATGAACACACAATGTGTGCTCACAGCAAACAATAAACAACGCGGCAAAGGCCATTTGTTGGGAACATGGCATTTTCTAGTCGACTGGCAAGCATGTCTGTCATGAACACCCTGGCTAATGCTCAGAACAAAACTTCACCACCATGGCGTCGCTGCCCAGCAGCACAATGTTGCTCGAACATGGATCTGGATGATGTGCACAATGTGCACCAGCACATAGCTACAGCTCAGGTGTCTCCTTTCAGCCATCATCCTCCAGTCAAAGTGTTTCAACTTGCCATCGCCAAATGGTAGGCATGACATTCGCACTGGCGCAATTTCGGTTGCTCCTTGCCATGAAAATCAACTACGCCTATATTGCGCTCAGCTACACCATTGCCCTGGGTGCCCCACCCACCTTCAGGGGGACCCTCTTTGGCACCATAACACACTTGTCCTCAGTCACATCAGAGCCCCTCTGCTCAGAGGTGGACACCGCACGCTCCTCCTCCAGATGGCGCTCAATCACCCCTTCGGGTGCCGAAAACAGCCACTCAGCCGCCATCTCCACACCAACGTTCTTTGTCTCCACCAGCGCCAACTCTGCCTTCTCCTTCTGGATGCCCATGTCCAGCATCGCCGTCAAGAACTTCTGATTCACCCGCTTCTGAAGCCGTCGTCGGCTCTCGCGCGTGCGACTCAGGGACTGCAGGGCAGCGTGCTCGGCATCGGGGGGCAGACCCAGCTGTCCATGCTGGTTGCAGCCCCAGGTGAAGAGGAAGCCGGAGCGTGTGAGGGCGGTGCTGTGCCAATCCCCTGAGGCCAGCTGCTTGACCGGCAGCGCCCACAGGGCATCCACGAGGGAGGGGGTGTGGCGCTCCACTCGGTCCCCCAGGCCCAGCTGGCCATAGCTATTCTGGCCCCAGCCATACACCTACAGAAAGGGCAAGCGCACCAGTGAAGGCGCCAAACTCGACCATGCTAACAGGCGCCAGGGCAAGTACACTACATGTTCCTGTGAACTATATAATATAATAATGGGCACTCGCAACAGGCTCACAAGCAGCAACACATGCGCTCCCTTTCAAATGTGGGGCCATGGCAGATCTGCAAGACATTGGTGCAATCAGCAAACCTGCCCAGAGCTCCTCATATTTGCGCATGCAAGCCTACAGTGCGGATTTCAACACTGAACAATGATAGCCTCCCTGGCACCACCATCCGATCGTCCCAGGACACCCAGTTGCTGGATTCTTCCATGGTGTCTTGCTCATGTGCTCTTGCTGAGCCTTTGATGAGCATGTGCAGCACGACATAGTGCGACAACAGGGTTGGTGGCTCGTTGAACAGTGACACTGAATCGTCATCTTCATATCTACCATTTCACAACAACAACAGCAGTGTCTAAGCCCA